GGCGGGTGGAGGAAGAGGGGGGTTAGTGGCTGATCGGTGTGGCGCCCTTTGTGGGGAGAGAGTAAGGGTGAAGGAAACACGCTATCGACACGTCCGTCCGCGGAGCAGCACAGCCGCAGGATGGAGTCAAGAAGCAATGACGTAGCTGGATTCGTAATGTAATTAAACCGGAAGCTTAGCCCTCCGGGAAAAGAGAGAGGGGAAGGTGGAGGTGGGGGTGAATGTGGTGCAGTGGGGGGTGCGTGTGAGAAAACCCCAACCACCCTCCTCGCCTTCCCAACCCCCCGGACCTAATATTCGACTCGTTGAATTTCTCCTCCTCGCGCCGTGCCGAATAGCGCAGCAGTGACAACGCCAACCCCTCCGGTGTCCCCCCTCCAGCGGCAGCTGCCGCGGCGGCGCCGCCTGGCCACGCCGCTGCCGCTGCCGCCGACTCGCTCGCGCTGAGCACCAGCTCCTGTCGTACACCCAGGTACGGCAGAGCCTCGGACTTCAGCCAATCCAGCCACAGGAACAAAATCGGCACGCCGCCGCCACTCGCCCGCCACTGCTGCTGCAGCTCCGATACCAGTACGGCAGCCTGAGCCGCCGTCAGCCAAAGCGACGCCAGCTCCACTGCTGGCGGCTCCGCCGCGGGGTAGCCCGTCGGCAGCGTCAACGTCACGCGGATAGGGCTCAGGAACTGCACCGACGCGCCGAACGGCACCCGCGCACACGTCGACGACGGCCCCGGCCCCGGCCCCGCCGCCCCGGCATTCACCTCCCCCTCCGTCCCCCGCACCGCCGCGGATGCGGGTGCTGACGCTGACGCTGGCTCTGATGAGGCGGAAGATACATTTTCCGAACCAGAGCTTACAGCCCGAGTAACCGAGCAGGGATCAACACCGTTGCCGTCTACTAGCGGCATCGCCGTCGCCGCCGCCGCTGCCCGGTTGTGCTCCCGCGGTTCGGAAGCCCGGTCTGAAGCCATAGCCTCCTGGACAGCAGGATCTCCCATGCGGGTGGCGCCTGTACGACCAACAGCTAAGAAGGCT